ATGGTTTTAGGTCTTACATTTAAGTCTTTAATCCATCTTGAGTGGAGTTTTGTATAAGGCATAAAAAAGGGATCCACTTTCAGTTTTCTGCACATGGCTAGCCAGTTTTTCCCAACACCATTTATTAAATAGGGAATCCTTTCCCCTTTGCTTGTTTTTGTCAGGTTTGTCAAAGATAGGTGATTGTAGATGTGTGGTGTTATTTCAGAGACCTCTGTTGTGTTCCATTGGTCTATATATCTGCTTTGGTACTTGTACTATGCTGTTTTGGTTACTGTAGCCTTGTAGTAGTATAGTTTGAAGTCAGGTAGTGTGATGCCTCCAGCTTTGTTCTTTTTGCTTAGGATTGTCTTGGCTATGTGGGATCTTTTTTGGTTCCATATGAAATTTAAAGCAGTTTTTTCTAATTCTGTGAAGAGAGTCAATGGTAGCTTGATGGGAATAGCATTAAATCTATAAATTACTTTGGCAGTATGGCCATTTTCGTGATATTGATTCTTCCTAACCATGAGCATGGAATGTTTTCCATTTGTTTGTATCTTTTCTGACTTCCTTGAGCAGAGGTTTGTAGTTCTTGAAAAGGTCCTTCATATCCTTTGTAAGTAGTATTGCTTGGTATTTTATTCTCTTTGTAGCAATTGTGAATGGGAGTTCACTCATGATTTGGCTCTGTGTTTGTCTGTTATTGGTGTATAGGAATGCTTGTGATTTCTGCACATTGATTTTGTATCCTGAGACTTTGCTGAAGTTGCTTATCAGCTTAAGGAGATTTGGGGCTGAGAAGATGGGGTTTTCTAAATATACAATCATGTCATCTGCAAATAGAGACAATTTGACTTCCTCTCTTTCTATTTGAATACCTTTTATTTCTTTCTCTTGCCTGATTGCCCTGGCCAGAACTTCCAATACTTTGTTGAATAGGAGTGGTCAGAGAGGGCATCCTTGTCTTGTTCCGGTTTTCAAAGGGAGTGCTTCCAGTTTTTGCCCATTCAGTATGATATTGGCTGTGGGTTTGTCATAAATAGCTCTTATTATTTTGGTATAAATTCCATCAATACCTAGTTTATTGAGAGTTTTTAACATGAAGGGGTGTTGAATTTTATCAAAGGTCTTTCTCTATCTGTTGAGATAATCATGTGGTTTTTGTCATTGGTTCTGTTTATGTGATGATTATGTTTATTGATTTGTGTTTTTTGAACCAGCCTTTCATTCAGAAATTTTTACTTTCTAAAGCAATTCACTACATTTTCTCAGTCAGAAAATTCTTTTTTTCTTCTTTTTTTTTTTTTTTTTTTTTTTTTTTTTTTTTTTTTTTTTTTTTTTTTTTTGAGATGGAGTCTCACTCTATTGCCCAGGCTGGAGAGCAGTTGCGCCATCTTGGCTGACTGCAACCTCTGCCTCAGAGGTTCAAGAGATTCTCCTGCCTCAGCCTTCCGAGTCACTGGGATCACAGGTGCAGGCCCCCACACCTAGCTAAATTTTGTTTTTTTAGTAGAGACAGGGTTTCACTATGTTGGCCAGGCTGGTCTCGAACTCCTGACCTCAAGTGATCCACTCACCTCAGCCTCCTGAAGTGCTGGGATTACAGGCATGTGCCACCAGGCCTGGCTAGAAAATTCTTTATGACAAGAAATTTGTCTCCCTGTCTCTTCCACCCACTGGACTTGGGACCACTGAGAACAACTATTATGCCTCTTTCAATAGGCTGTTCATCAGATGTTTGAAGATAATGGCCACGTCTTTCAGTCTAGTCTTTTCAGAGTAAATATTTTTCATTGTCTCATAGTTCCTTGTATAATGTGGTTTGAAACCCTTCCCTCTCTTGTCTGTCTCTGGGCACCCTTGCCTGTCAGGGTCCCTGTGAAGGTATATAGCCTACAACCATTCAGAGTGAAGAGAGCAACGATTATTCTGTTGTTTTAGATTTTCTGTTTTATTAATGTGTCAAGACCATGTTAGTGCCTGGGAATTTTCTTATCTAAATATTAATACACCTTAAGCTTACTATAAAAGAAAACTTCCAAGTTCTTTTCATGAAAACTTTATATATTCTTTATGTCTGATTGTTCATTATATTTTTAATGTAAAAAAAATTTTTCAGTTTTATATTTATCATAAAGTCTCCATGTCTGTCTTAATAGCACAATAGAGAAGCAGTAAAGAATAGTGAATACTCACATAAACATTTTAAAAACTTTTAGATTTAGAAGTAAACCAGATGCAAAAGAAGCTGCAAAACAAATGTACGCTTAATGACTCATAAGGCAAACAATCAGGTCAAGAAATAGAATTTCGCCTGTCACTCTAGAAACCCCTCCATAAGGCCTACCCTAGTCTTAATCCCCACCTCACCAATAGTACACCACTAAATTTATGTAGTAAAATAAACTAATCTGGCAATCAATCATTTGTGATATTTAAATATTTTTATTATCTAAATGTATATCAATAGACACTATAGTCTTGTCCATTTAAAAATTGCAGCTGTTAAGTCTCTCAATCTCCAGTTTTCCCTCCATCTCTTTCTCTTAAAATGTATCTGTTGCATTTGACCTGAACAGTTATCTGCAGTGAGGATTTTTAAATTACATAATCATAGTGTGAGTCAGCATCTTCCTCCATCTTCTGTATTTTCTGCAAATTGGCAGTTGGATCCAAAGTCTTGATCAGATTCTTGCTTAATCCTTTCTCCAAGGCTGCAGGTCATGGTGTGTTCTGTAGTGAAGAGGCACATAATGTCTGGTCATTTCTTTCTGTGGTTGCAGTTGTTGATGCTCATTGATTCATTACTTCCCTGGGATTTGGAAATAGTCAAATTTAAATTCTATTATTTCTGGCCATTTATTTAGTGTAGAACTCTTTACAAGGAGAAATTTCATACATCTGCAATTTGGTTATAGAGTGGTCTAGTTGATATATAATGACAGGATGATACTTTTTTTTAATTGTTTGCTAGTTTTCAAGATAAGTTGTTTTTCTGTTATTCTCTGAAAGTGAACAAAAATTTGGTTTTTAAAAATGTCATTATAAACTCATTGATTTAATGGATGTATGATTGCAGTAATCCCTTTGAAGCTCATTTATTCCTTCTTTAGCCAGTGGGAGCCTCTTCAAGTCAGTTTCTTAGTATTTTTGACATGGCCTTAGTAGTCTTTGATAGCCTCTTTTCTACCTGGTATAACGAAGTGTTCTAGGCTCATCTTGTTCATTTTCTGCCTCAGACTTGGAATCAGTCACTTCCTCAAAGATATTCAATCCTCTTTGGTTAGAAAGGGTATTTTAAGACCATAACCTGGGTGTTTCTAGGCTCTTAGTAGGCAGAGTAATATATACCTCCAATAACCCTATGCTATGTAATCTTATGCATTTATATTGATACTTTTAATTAAAATTCAGAGATGTAAAATTCAGAGATTTTCTTAATCTTTTATATTACTTCTGTATCTTCTTTTTCCATATTGAGAATCTGAGGATCCTGATTTTCAAGGACTTGAGGAATAATCAATTAGAAAATTTCATAAGTATTTATTTTTCTCTTTCCTACATTGCACACATAGTCTAAGATAAGAATATCCACAGTAATACTGGACTACCACCACCAGTTAAAATTGTTTTTGCAGATGTGCTCCCCTTCATCCTCGACTCTTTGCAATTATATAAAATCTATGCTACCTGAACATGTAGACATTGTATTTTGTTCTCTTTCCTTTTTATCCTAAATATAATTTAGCTCTACAAGTAAATATGTATTTAATAATAACCAGTCCTTATTTTGATGCTTCTCAATCAAATTTGAAGTTCATTCATTAGTATATTCTTCAGTAAGGGCTCATGCGAATAGTATTTCCTAAGTTCTTGCCATGTCAAATAGTTTATTGCCCTTATATTTTAAAGTCAGTTTAGCTGGTTATATAGTGATTGGTTCAGTTTTCCTTGAGTGTTTAAAATCTGTTATTCTACTTTCTCTGGCATATATGTTGCTGTTAAAAATTCTGGAATTCTTATGGCAATTTACTTCAATCTCCTTTATATATTATTTACTGGTTTTATCTAAATGACTGCAGGGTTTTTTCTTTCTCTTTAAAGTCTAGTACTTTTACTGAAACATGACTTGATGTTGGTCATTATGGGTTGTTATTCTTAAGTACATGGTGTTCTTCAGTTTGTAGTTTCAAATCTTTTCTTGAATCATATTTTTTAGTATTGTGTTTTTTTATTTTGGGTTTCTTCTTCTGAGACTCCTATTACCTATAAAATGGATTATTTGCCTATTTTTAATATTAGTTATATAGTTTTTGAATCCTTTTTATCTGTAGATTTCTTTTCAATTAAAAAAATTTATTCTTGTAGTCCTCCATTTCTCTTACACCATCACTGTTGTGATGCTCTGTGTTGCTTCTGGTTTAGTCATTTCTGAAATGATTTTTCTCATTTTTTCCCCTGAGTTCTATTACCTCATTTCTGAGGTGAAGGGTGTACTTGTTGGCTCTTACAGCTAAAAATAAACTGCAGCAAGATGTCATTTTGAGAAGATAGGTGGAAATAAACTGGATTATCTCAAAGGAAAAATATTGAGAGAGATTTACTTAAAACAGATAAGAGCATATTACAATAACTGATTGAGGTCTTTGTGGCACTCACCCATCTCACCTTCCCCTATGTTTCTCCACTGAGTAGAAGCTCAGGAGATAGGTAAACCAAGTCTATGTTTCCTTTCACATCTGAGTAATTTTCTGTACAATTTTAACCCTGCTGATCTAGGGCAGTCCTTATTCTGGACAAAAAAATGAAGAAGGAATTTATACATAGGCCCTTCCTTAACACTCCAGTCCCAACATCTGCACTGAGCATAGAGAAAGTAGAATTCTGAAATAGTTTAAGTTCACTTTTATTATACTGGTCAATTTATTTTTAAAAAAATCTTTTATTTTGGAAGTCTGCCTCTCCTGACTGTGGGTAAAAAAGATGTGCTGAAACAGAAATTATTATGCATTAGAGGTAGTTTTGGGGAGACTTTGTAGTTCAAAATTATTAAAAGAAAGGATGTCTCTTTTCTGAATTACTCTGTAAAAGTACAAAGAATTATTACTGGAAGAAATGAGACAAGATAAGGAGCAGAGTAAGATATATAATATGGCAAACACTTTTGTACTGAAATATTTATTTAAAAACATTGGCTATGTAGATATTTATAAGTAGTTTATTTTCTATGCAGTTTCTGTGCAGTTATGACAGTCTCTAATTGCTTGATTTTAGTTACTAGGCTTGTCAAAGCCATATACTCTTTTTCTACAAAAATCACTTGTGATATTTTTAGTTTCTAGAAAGAATATAGCCCGAAGTTGAATAGTCCAAAGCAAAAAAGCGTAAATTGAAAGAAAGATGTTATTATGTACGATCAATCCACACAAAATTATATCAGATTATATCAAATAGAAGTAACTCAAATTTTGCTTTGGCCTCCTCTAGGGAAATTAAGGAATAAACAAAATCAAACATACAATACATTCTCACTGAACTCTATATGTAAATTATTATACTAGATACAATGGGATAAACAACAATATGTTAGATGACTAATTCGCAAGTCAAAATGAAGATAGATCATTGAAGAGAACTTCTTTGTATTAAAGTTTATACCAATTTTCAAACTCTGGGATTTACTGATTATAGAAATTAAGGATTGGAGATACTGTGAGATAAGGGTGATTTCCATGTCACCAAGAATGTACTAAAGTGAGTTTGAAGAGAAAGTAATTACACATTTTTGAAATGTTTGTCATTTATTTGTTTATGAATTAAATGAACATTTATTAATCCGAAGATATATTTGTAGAAGTCTTTGGTATGTATACAGTAAGTGAAAATATGATATTGTCAGAAAGAGTTTGTGGAGCAAGAAGAGATGAGGAGCAAGCTTCAAGGAACATCAACATTTGAAGACTAAACAGTGTAAAAGCTGGAAAAGGAGACTGGAAGCCTTGGCCAGAGAGGAAGAAGGGAACAGCAGAGCATAGTGCCAAAGAAGCACAGCAGAGTTTTTCCTGCGAGTGTCAAATTCTGCTGAGAGTTCAGTCAAGATGAGGTTACAAAAATGCCCATTGGATTTAGTGGTAAGGAAGTCACTGATAAATTTGGTGACAGCATTTTTAAATGACATCTCTTGTGGGGAGACTTGAGCATCTGTATTTTACAACATTTCACAGATGGTACGAATGTCACTTGTCTAGCCCCTTGATGTGATACTTCCTTTGGAAATTTACCCAGCTCTCTGATTCACTGTTCTTGGACCACTCCCTTGCGAACCCCACCACCAATAATACCCCATATTTGGGGTCCATTCAAGTTTCCTGGATATTACATCTAAATTGGCATCCCAAGGTCTGGCTTGTCAGGAGTGGGAACCAGATACAGGAAGAAGTTTAAGGATATTTTAGGATCCAGCTAGGTTGACTAATTAGATGATGAGGCCATTAACCAAGATTTGAAAATAAATAAAGAAGGGCAACCTAACAAGAGCAAAGAGAAAGACTATAGTCCTCAAAGAGATTAGGAAAAGGTGAATTACAGAGTAACTATTTTCTAATATGTTTCCTGGGTAGGGGATGCCGTAGTTAATAGGCAAATCTCATCTGTGGACGGGATTCATCCTTGTAATGGAGAAGGATGATGCATTGAAGTTGCCAACTTAACAGTATGACATACCTTCCTATACTGCCTCCTTTTGCTCTGATTCTCTATTTTGCCAAACAACATTCTAATTGATTAATTTCCTTAAATGATGAAATATGAAATACTCATTTATGAAATTATAAAACTATGAAATAAGTAAACTAATCAGGACTTATCTGATTTTTAAAGGTTGG